GTTTTCCATAATGGCTGCACCAGTCTGCATTCCCACCAGCAGTGTACTAGGGTCCCCTTTCCTCTACATCCTTGCCAGTGCTTGTTATCTGTTGATTTATTGATGGTAGCTATTCTGGAAGGTGTGTGGTGATACCTCATTATAGTTTCAATTTGCATCTCTCTGATGTTTAGTGAAGTTGAGAATTTTTTCATATGGCTATGTTCTCTTCGGAGAGGTGTTTATTCACATGATCTCACTTATGCGTGTTTGGGTTTAAATTTGGGTCATAAAATATCTACAGTACAAAATTGAATTTATTTGTCAAATGTGTTTCGTATGACTTGAGATTTGATTTATATATTGTTTTTGTCTGAGTTCTGTCACATTATCAAAAAAAGGATTGAAACTTTTAAGAGTTTAGGAATTAAGTTAAGATTTAAAAAGTTATATGATTCTAGTGAATTTTCAATCTAAATCTAGTTAGAAAAGAGGATTAATTCTGCATTTTCAACTGAGTGTGATAAGCAAGTTATCTTTTATATCTGATAAAAGGCTTAAGTGGTCACCATCTTGGGCCACATGGCACATGATGTTCCTGGGGGCCACCATCTTGAAACAGCAAAGGCCCCGCCCCTCCCTTTGAATTAGCCAATCGCAAAAGGAATGTTTGCTTACTGAGGAAGAATGAAATTTCAGAGGTGGAATTAAAGGCAGAGTTTTGGGCCCCGGGGATGGGGCCGCATGCATGCCTCTCGGATTTATTTACTATGTTTTTTCAATGAAGATGCTTATTCTGATTGCTTAATAAATGAGCTTTAAAAATATCATCAAGGTCTCATATAATTTCAGTTATATGACAGATCAATGTTTTAAGCAGTCGACTTTAATAAAAGTAGACAATAGAAGTTTAAATTCTTAAAAGCTTGCAGATATAAACATTTTTTTTCTTCCCCCCCAACCCTTGACAGTCCCCTAGCCTCCCCTATTCCCCAGTGTCTTATGTCCATTGGTTATGCTTATATGCATGCATACAAGTCCTTTGGTTGATCTCTTACCCACCTCCCTCCTGCCCCCCCCAACCCTCCTTGGCCTTCCCGCTGCAGTTTGACAATCTGTTTGAGGCAGCTCTGCCTCTGTATCTATTATTGTTCAAAAGTTTATAAAGGTTGACTTTAAAAGTTTTAAGAGATTTTAAAAGTCTCTAAAAGACGTGAATTTCAGAAAAGGCCCGGAAAGCCTACAAAAACCATATGGCACATCTAAAACCTCAATTCTGTCAATGTAAGAAAAGTCCAAACCTGTAAAGATTTTTATGAGTTTATTTGATTAAAAAAGGATCAAAAACAAAAAGTACAACAAAAGAGAAAAAAATGCGTTTATAAATTTATAGAGAAGTCATACAACTTAACAAAAGGAAGATAAATGATCCAATCAAAAAATGGGCCACGGATCTAAATAGACAATTTTCAAAAGAGGACATTCAGAAAGCCAAGAGACATATGAAAACATGCTCAAAGTTGCTAATCATCCGAGAGATGCAAATCAAACCAACAATGAGGTACCATCTCACACCTGTCAGACTGCCTATCATCAACAAATCAACAAATGACAAGTGCTGGAGAGGATGTGGAGAAAAAGGAACACTTGTGCACTGCTGGTGGGAATGCAGACTGGTGCAGCCACTATGGAGGACAGTATGGAGTTTCCTCAAAAAACTGAAAATGGATATAAATATTCTTTTAAGGCACAGAATAAACTGAAGAATATTATTCAGGCATTAAATCTAATTATTAATAGCATTCACCATGTATACTAAAGGAAAGTTATTTAATATGACTACCTTACCTAGCAGTATTAAATGTCTTAAATTCTCTGACGGTGACCACAGCTTTGCAGGGAGAAAATGGACAGGCAGTAAGCGTGTTCTTCCAGCAGTTTCTCTGACATTCAAGGTATATCATAAAAATTCAATGGCCAGATTGAAAATAATTAATTTTATGGTCAAGACTAAATTCTTTAATGTTAAGAACTTGTTTGAGTGTTTAATAATCTTTAAATTGGATGTTTGATGGCTTTTCCGAATGTAATACTTCAAGAATGTAACTGAAGGACAGATTTTGTGACACCTCAAAGGGCCCTGGGGTAATACAAAAAAAAGATTTATTCCTTCTCCCTAAAAAGAAATAACTAAATTAGTCCAGTGAATATACTTGAGATTGCATGAAGAAACTCTGCCAAATGAATTTAAAAAATTAATTAATTAATAACAATGTTCTATTTAAATGCATATGCCTTGAACATCATGAAAGTTACTATTAAGTGTATGCACAGACCCACAAAGTCATTTTTCTAATTTCTTGACTCACATGTAACAGCAATTTGCAACTACCTAAAACGTATAAATGCCAAGGGGTTTGAAGTCATCTAGAAAACCCTGTCTTCCTTAAACTAAGGACAATTAAAAGTTAATGTTCTATATTTTCTCTCCCTAAACAAAGGTTAAATAGCTTATGCCAACGTACTTAAAGGGACTGGTAGCAGAAATCCAATTAATGTTATTTACTGTTCACAAAGACAAGTAAAATTAAAATATAAACCTCATTTCAAATTAATTTAAATTGGTTAATTGAAATAAATAAATATTCAAGAAAACTTAATTGTACTGTACAGGAAACTGTTCCTGAAGTATTAACTAAAATTCTTATTGATGGCTCAAAAATGGCTTAACATGTTATGTATCCAAAGCAGTCATATTTCTATACAAGAAATTAAATATAAAGTTATCAAGACTGCATTAAAATTTTTTTCAAAAGCCTCTTTATATTATTTTAATACAGAATAGGGGGATAGTAGAATAATCTCATGTAAGAATATTACATTAAGCCTAAATTATTTTAAAATTGTTACTTTACAATTGATTTTCACTTGTAATACCGGTGAATGCGCACTGGTGTCAAAGTGGGCCAAAAGGAAAATGCTCTGGTTAAATGAAAGAATCTCAAATCTAAATTATAGGAAATTCCCTCTTAACATTTGGTCGAGGATATGCTTATATATTTCCAGAAAATTTCTCTAAGCCCATGTGGATTCCTGCAAGAAATAGTAACTTCAACATGGATCCGAGAGAAGAACTGGCCAGGTTAAAAAGGAGACTGCCCCTGGAGCCATGCCTTACAGCTGCAGGCAATCAACTTCCACAGCCGTGAATAGCAGTGGTCCAAGCAACTCACTGAAGAAGTGGGAGGAGGACGAAGTGGACAGCAAAGAGCCCAGAAGTGACCAGGAGCCCAGGAACACCTGAGAACATCCTTCTTGCCATGCTAGCAGTAATCAGCTGTACAGTAATGCTACCAGGGGCAAATGGGGAGGTATTTTGGACTTATGTCCCTGACCCACCATAGGTAAGACCCCTTAAATGGGCTGATTGTCCACCTAATATAGTCACCAATGATACCCAAAGCCTTGGTCATCCAGGAGGACCACAGGTGGGGCAAGGAAGTATATGGGCAAAGTATAATTTTACACAGGTATTGCCACCCAGCTTCCCTTTTGTATGACACTAAATCAACCACTGTTTCCCTGTGTGTAGAATTAAAGAGAGGTTTTTGGCCAGCTTGGACCCCAAAGGATGCGGAAGAAAAAGCTCAAATACATTTATTATCTCTACTTGCTCCAGGGAGAGGTGCAGAAAATGTAAGTGTGCTAAGACACCCCCCAACTAAGCCATTATGTAAAAAGTCTTATGAATGGTACCCCACTGAGGAAGAAATTAATTGGCAAGACTGTTAGAGTAATTATCCTACCACCAGCAAACTTAATAACAATTTTTTCTTTGTGGACTGGAGCCCTTATGGGTCTTTCTATAGTAACAATAGCACCCTAAAATGGAAAGGGAACACATCCTATCTATATGTTGAAGCAAATCAGTCCATCTCATAGCATGGAGGAGAATTTGTTGGGTCTCAATTGCAACATGACAATCAGCCCCTACAAAGTACACAGTGGAAATTAGCTGCTGCACTTGCACATATTAAATGGTATGGTTTTAATTATAACTCAAATAATTCCATTTTTGGTTTACAAGGAACTTTCAATAAGACAGTGCTTGCTATTGCTTGTGCGTTTGATCCGTTTGTACTCCTCTCAGGCCCCATCCAGATGCACCTTAATGTTACAAGCCATCTGTATGAGGTGTCATGCACAGGTTGCACTTTATTCCATTGTATTAATTCTACATTTCAAAAGAAGTTCCTCGTGATTTTAAAACAAGCAGCTTTTGCTTGGGTTCCCACCAACTTAACTGAGCCTTGGGAGTCTCACCAAACCTACCAACTGTTGCATGATCTAGTAAAAATCTTAAAAAGACAAAAAAGATTTCTTGGAATGTTAATTGCAGAAATCTTTGCCCTAGTAACGTTACTTACTTCTGTGGGCATTGCTGCTTAATCAATGGTACAGACTGTTCAAACCTCTCAGTTTGTACAACAAGTCAAGGAAAATGTAACTAAGACCCTGTCTATACAAAAAAGAATTGACAGCCAGTTTGAGATAGAATTATTGGCACTAAAGTCTACAGTCCTGTGGATGGGTGATAAAATCCATGGCCTAGAGCAAAGAATATCTTTGCAGTGTCATTATAATTTATCCCAGATTTATGCTACCCTGTTCCCTATAATAGTACCCTGCACCTTAGGAATCAATAAAAAATCACCTTCTTGGTGCTTGGGGGAAAGGTAACACAACCCTCGATATTTTAGAATTACAACAGCATATTGTACAATTATCCCAGGCAAACTTACAAACCAATTCCCTTAATGCCTGGCAGCAATTTAAAGAGGACTTGAAAGAGTTTAACCCCTTTCACTGGATATCATTGCATTTACCTCTCAGCATAATCACTATTGTTTGTCTCGTTCTTGTTCTCATAAGTTTACTTATAGTCTGCAGATGTGGAATGAAGAGTCTTAAAAGGACTCAAACCCTTCAGGCAGTTTTCACTTATCAAGATTTATTAAGGAAAAGTAACAGGGAAGAGTGCCTAGCACATAATTAATCATTGCCTTTATGGTACTAGGACATCCCCTAGAGCTAAAAACAGACAATGGGGAGGAGAAACCAAGATGGCGGCATAGGTAAACACCGAAAATTGCTGCCTCCCACAACAACTTCAAAAATACAACTAAAAGACAAAACGGACATCATCCAGAA